GGGGGGCACTCAGTCAGGGCTCACTCACCAGCGGGGCTCTGCAGCCCCTCCCAGAGACCTGGCTGGAGAGCCCCGAGACCCAGGCTTCAGGAGCCCCTGACCTTTCAGGGTCCTGTCACCTAGGTGATGAGGGGAGTGGTGGGTGGGTTGAGGGGAGCCCTAGTCTTAGGGTCAGAAGACCTGAGTCCTGGATCCAGGTCTTGCCGGTTCTATGACCTCAGGCAAGTCCTAGAACCCCTCCGAGGCTCAGTTTTCTCATCTGTATGGAGGGGCTAAAAGGTCCTTCCCAGCCGGCCACAAAGCATTGTTATAAGGACCTAATGACTGTACAACTCACACCACCGCAAGAGATAATGACCCAGTCAGTTCTGGGTAGTGAAGGTTCTCTTCCCATTTGCCTGGTGGGAAAACTGAGTCCGAGGCAAAAGGAAGTGTGTGACCTATCTGAGCAATGGCAACTAGAACCCAAAAGTCCAGGCATCCAGTTCAAGGAAAATGACTGACCCCTGAAGCCAATCATGGGCCAAGGGCCCCGGGCTCCTCACCGCTTCTCTGCCAGGAGCTTCTCCTCCAGGAGCTGCTGCATCTTCTCCTCGATCTGCCTCAGGTTGCTGTGGAGCCCCCCCCTGGGAGGGGGCTGCGCGCTCTGACTGGCCAGCGTCTGCAGTTGGCTCTCGTTCTCCTCCAGCATTTCCAGGGTTTTCTTCTTCTCTATGGAGAGTTCCTGGCACGCAGGGCGGGAAAGGAGGAGGAGAAGGAGCCTAGTTTAGGTCCACCACGGCTGCCCTCGCCGGCCTTCTGGCTCCAGGGAGGGGTGCCCCCACTCCCAGGCCCGTACGAGGGACACCTGACATGTCCCCGTTCTTCCCTTGAGGTACAAGGCCAACCAAGGCCTCCTAACTCACAACAAGGCAAGGCTGCCCCCCACTGAGGGAGTCAGAGCAGAGCCCAGTGAGGCTCCCAGGGGAGGTGGCGCCTGCTACAACCGGGCCCCAAGACCCAAGGGCCCTGTGACCTTCTGGGGTTCTTCTTGCTCCAGGGGCAAGTGAGGGAGTGTGTTGGGTTCATGTGAAAAACACCCAACAGGAACAGACCAAGAGCTGGTTTATGTTCTCCCCATTAATCAGACCAGGATCTTGCAAACCCCAGAAATTCTGGAGTTGAAACCATCCGTGGGAACCACCTCCCATGCTAGGAAACGGAGAAAAATAAACAAAGGCACCACAAACAAAGTCCCAGGCACTGGAGGGAGAACAGAAACCCTCGCAGTCTGCCGGGCAGTGCATGGATTCAGTACACGTTAGGATCCCCGCAACATGCCGAGCTCACTTTCGGTGCTGGGCTTGGAAAGACCTTAAGATGCGGCCTAGTGAAGTTCACAGTTTGGAAAACACAACCTAGCGTGTTAAGTGCCGTAACAGATGTACAAAGCACCGTGGGGGCCCAGAGCTCAGAGCAAATTCCTGCCGAGGAGAGTCGGGCAAGTTTGACCAAGGTGATGTCCAGCTGAGCCTTAGAAGGATGCAAGAGCCCCCAGGCAGGTAAGAGGTGAAAGGACACTGTGTAGAGGGACAGTATGGGCAAAGGTGGGAGGTGAGAGCTTGGCTTCCCGGGGGCACGTGAGCTCAGCAGTGTGGAGTGGGGGCTGGGGTGTCTGATCGGGGTGTGAGTGGGCAGCAGAGGGCAACGGGAGAGGCTGGCGCCAGAGTTTGCACTTGCATGCCATGCTGGAGAATTGGCACTTTGTCCTTGACACACGCCACCCCCCGCCCTTGCAGTTTCTGTGGTATCAAATGGAGGTGACCTGGCAGTTATTTCCCTTCGAGCTCAATTTCAGCCTGGAGCAGCTGAGTGAATGAGCCACAAGAAGGAAGTGGAGTGCAGCCCCGCCAACCATCCTAACCAATCCCCCATTTGGTACAAAAACATAAGCACTGAAGAAGGTAGATTTCCTGAGGCCACGGTCTTAGCAAGGGCAAACTTGAACTTGCCCTTCTGGGTCCTGCTTTGGGCCTCATAAGTTGGCTGTAGTTCCCAAAGGTCCACAGAGAAGAGATCCTTAGGTCAGCACCCCTTCGGGCCCTGTTACCCTTGCAGATGGCTCAGTAACTAGGGAAACACTGTTAGAAAAAACAGTATCATGTGGCCCCACCAACCAGCCTGCCTCTGGGTCCACCAGCCTGCCAGTGGCCCCTCACCTCCAGCGTCTGCTGCAAGGACTCCGTGAAATGCCTCAGCTCCTTTTTCTCTTGCTCCACACCTTTGAGGCATCTTGCAGTCAGTTCTAGCTCCCTGCGGGGACAGAAGGTATGGGTATGGTAGTGCCCCCTTCCTAGCCCCCTTTGTACACAGAATTGCTTGTTTCACCTCCCAATAAGGCTCAGTGAGGTCCTTGGAAGCCTGGGTCCTGCCAGCAGCTGTAGGGACCCAGGGCTGAAAGGAGATCCCAGCCAAACAGGGGTGAAGTCACTTGCTCCAGGTACTCATGCATTTGTCAGCGGGAATAAACCCAGGACCACCCCCACAGGCCAAGAAGCACTGGGGGAAAATAGGGGTCCTAGCCTCACCCTGTCTTCCCTGGACAGTCCCTGCTAGAATCCACACTCGTTCTGACATGGGACCTGGCTGAGGCCTTTCTCTGGGGTGACAAACTCCTTGCTGCTTTCTTAACAAGCCGGGGCCACCTCGGGCCTTTATGCCTGGTTTCCCCTCCTCCTCCTTGGAATATCTTTCCCTTCTCGTGCTCAATTTTCCAAATCCATCTTCAAGGCCCAGCTCAATCTAATCTCTGTTAAGCCCATATGGATTATGCATATATCTAAATTCCTGTAATACAAGGAATCTGCCTCATGCCTCCTAGCACTTGGTTATATATTATTGTTTTGATGTTTCCTGGGTGTGAGTCCGGTTTTCCCAACCAAATCCTCAAGGGAAAGGACTAGTCTATTCCAGAATCTGGCATAATTCTGGAAGTGAGCAGGTGTTTTTCTATTTACTTGGTAAGATTCTCTGAGCTTCTCCCTTCCCCAATTATATGTCTAATGACTTCCTTTACAAGGTTGTTGCAAGAAGTGTTCTGGGCTACCACTGATGATCTATAGTGATGACGATGGTGATAATAATGCTGACTGATGATAACCACACTACCACCAACAGTCCCCAGAGCAGGAGTCTCCAAATTCCTGAACAGGCTGCATCAGAATGACCTGGGAAGCTTTTTAAAACTATAGATTTCTGGGCTCTCCCTTTAGGAGATTCTAATTCTATTAAATGATTATAATGTGCAACTGGTTTGCAAACCATACACAGGACTAAAGATCCCAAGAGATGTCACTAGTCAGGATGTAAAGGGATTGTGCAGGAAAGACAGGGAGTGCTTGGGACCTTGGCTAGTGGCTCCTCCAGACTAGCTTGTTCTGTCTGCCCTGGGTAAGGAAAGTTTGACAGAGGAAGGAGGGCTCACTGCTTAGGGTGCTGTCTGTCTGCATCTGCCCATGCCTCACGCCCCAGCTAAATCATTTAACATTTGTGTGGGATCTACAGCTTTTTCCGGGCATAGCCCAAAGCCTGGAGCATTGAGAAGATAGACCAAACCAAGCCAACAAGTAGTAAGGATCTCTTAGACAGGAGCCTCTCCAGGGCTGATCAGGGACGTGGTTTCTAGGTGCCCTAGCCCAGCTGCACCTTCCTCCCGCTTCCCTCCAGGACTGTCACCACCTCTTGATCTGCTCCTGCTCCATTCTCAGCTCCTGCACCACCTCCTCAAACTGCTGCTTCTCAGCTTCCAGCACTTGGTTAAGGCGCTCAAGCTCCTGAAGAGAACAGAGAGAAAGAGGAGTCATGGGCAGCAAAGGGAACCCCCACTCTAACCCAGGAGGCCCTCTGGGATTCAGCACAGCCTGGGGCATATGCTGAACCAAACTTGAAATTAAGTCCTGCGGAGTCCAGGCCCCCTCAATGACACACAGTCTCAACATAACCGAATCTGTGACCTGGGCTCACTTAAAACACATTTAGCAAGCTGAAGGCAGGCTTTAGAAATGACGCCAATGTTATTTCCTGCAACTAGGCGCAGTAATTCTATATGTCACTCACATCCGAAGGCACGCTGGCTGGCCCTCAAGCCCTGAAGGACAAAGTGGTGAGTGTATTTACATTAAAGATCCCTGGAGCGACATCTATTAGAAGTGGAAAGAAAAGCCACTACCAACCCAAAAGTCAGAGACTAAGAACTCCTTTTTCTTACGGCATCTGCAAAGCAATAGCACAGGTGGCAGCCAGAACCTTCCTACAGCCCAGGATGGTATGAGTGTTTACAGCAACCCCACTACAGACTGAGGTCAGCCAAGATCTGCTTCCCCTAAAGCCTTTCTCCACCATACAGTGCTTCTGACTCCTGGGCCTGACTTAAGCTGCAAGAGTATAAGGTTGGAAAAAAGTCACTAGATGGCAAATTCCAGCTCAGTGAAAGGAAGAAATTTCAAATAATGGAGCAATAATGAAAAGGTTACCTCCAGAGGTAGTGAGCTGCCCATCACAGGATCAGGATCAATATCCATCAGGAAGGTCAGCAAAGAGCCTCACCTTGAAGTGGGAGGTACTTTCCGATTCCAAAAGCCTGTGTTCTGACTGGAGCACCCCCCAGTGGCAAGAACCCTGCCTGACTGGCCCTAGGCATTTCTGATTTCCCACGTGCCCACCAATGTGCAAGGCTGAGCTCTTACAGTTCAACCAGAAAAGAAAAAATAGGCAGGCTGCCCTCGCACCAGGGGGTGTGAGAGATGAGGCCACAGGGAGCCAGAGACACCAGAGGGGCCTGAGATCAAGGAAGGGCATGGTCTTCTGGCTCCAGGCAGATGAGCCCAGGGCGGCTGTCCCTGCATTCTCTGCTCATGCTCCAGAGTCCCAGGACCTTTCTGCCACCTGGAGGACGTCAGGGCTGCACCATCACACAGCACACATCTGCATGGGCCTTGCCAGTCCACCAAGCACCGCCCTGCTTTCTATTTCACGGAGCCTCCCAGCGACCCAGGTGCTAGGCGGGCACTGCCATTACTCTTATCCGAGTATCACAGATGGAGAAACTGAAGGTAAGAGAGGCTAACTTGTCCAAGGCCACAAGTCAGTGGTGAGGTGAGACTCTAATCTGGGTCTCCTGATCCCAGACCCTGAGTCTTCCTTTAGGCCAATCAGCCTCTTAGAGACCAGAGAATCTCCATCTCATCACTGGGCCATTGTCCCAAATGCCTTTCTAAGCGGCATAAGGCACAATCAGCTAATGTCTGTGACCTGAAGTGGAGAAAGGAAAGGAGCAGGGGACAGGCAGACCCATTATATGGATAATTAAGTTAAGGAAGGAGAAACCTTGACACAATGACTCAGTGAGTTCTATTCCTGATCTGGAGCAAGCAGCTGACAAGGGGCTGCGAGCCTGGGCACATTTCTCTCCCTCCTGCCTGCCCAGAGAGCCTTCACCACAGGAACCAGCTGGGCCTGAGTGAGTCTCACTCATATTCTGAACCAAAAAAACAGGGAGTTCACAGCTGAGAGGCTTCCCTCCTTCTGCGTGCTATGGCTTTAAGGGAGGCCTGTGTGCAGTGGGTCCCCACTGTCCTCATTTCCTGGCTAAAGACCTAGATAGAGTGTCTAAATTTTCCTCCGGCTGACTGCTGCCCCAGATTTGGCCTCTCTGATGGATAAGTCTGTCTCTTTCCCTGCTAGTGGCTGTGTCTGTCACTCCATCCCATCCCCTGGCTTCCTGAGTTACGTGTCTTTAAGTCACTGACAATCTACCAGAAGTCTCACTTCTCAAAACGTACAGCACTGTATGGAAAAAATGCCAAAACTCTAATGCAGGACCGAGAATGAGAACCTGGAGACGCGGAGGCCCGAACGCTGTCACCATGCCAGTCCTCAAATCGTGCAATCGTAACACAAATCCTCAACAAGTTTTGTTTTGGGAGTTTTGTTTGTTTGGGTTTGAATTTTTTTTTTATTGTTGTTAACTAACAGAATGATTTTGAAGTCCAGCTGGAAGAATAAATGAGCAAGGATATCTGATAAAATGTTGGAAGAAGAAAAATGAGGGTGAATTATCCCACTGGATTAAAGTCAGGATGTAATGTAAAATTACAAGAATCAAAAATGTTCAATCATGGTTAAAGGGTCTTCTTTAAGAAGAACAAGAAAAAAGATTAAAAATATGAATAATAAAATGGCAATAACTACATATCTATCAACAATTACTTTAAATGCAAATGGATTAAATGCTCCAATCAAAAGACATATGGAGGCTGAATAGACAATAAAACAAGACCCTCCCATATGCTGTCCACAGAGACTCACTTCAGACCGAAAGACACCCACAGACTGAAAGTAAAGGGATGGAAAAAGGTTATTTCATGAAAATGGAAACAAACAAAAAGCTGGGGTAGCAATACTTATACCAGACAAAATAGACTTTAAAACAAAGAGAGAAAGGAGGACCCAGCAATTCCACTTCTGGGTATTTGTCTGAAGAAACCCAAAACACTAAATCAAAAAGACTTATACATCTAGATGTTCACTGCGGTATTATATACAGTAGCCAAGATATGGAAGCAACCTAAGTGTCCACCCGTAGCTGAGTGGATAAAGAAGTGGTGCACAGCCCAAGACAGTTTGACTCAGTGGTTGAGTGTTGGCCCTCAGACCGAAGAGTCACGGGTTCGATTCCTGGTCAAGGGCACGTACCTGGGTTGTATGTTCTCCCCATCCCAATTGGGGCAGGAGGCAGCCAATTGATGTGTGTCTCTCTCACATTGATGTTTCTCTCTCTCTCTCCCCCTCCCTCCCTTCCACTCTCTCTAAAAAAAAAAAAAAAAAAAAA